CAGTCTGGCAAGCGTGCGAGCATCTCCAAGAAGGGGGCGACGGCCGCGCTCGCCGGGCACTTTCAGGGCTACGACAGGAGCCTCGCCCCCCTTCCTCGCCCCCCCTCCCCCAACCCTCGCTCCCTCTGTCATCGGTCCCGGCCTCCCGCTTCCCGCGAGGGCAGACACAACCTGCCGCCCACACCTGCCGCCACCGCCCTTACGCCGCCTCGCCGTCGCCCCCACAGCTCGGGCGTCACGCAGCTGCTGCGCCGCACGCGCATGAAGCGGGACAACGTGGTCAAGGCCGGCTCGAAGACCGCGACGCGGCTCTCCGTGCTCGGCCGCATCAAGCTCGAGCCCGGCTACAAGGCGCCGCCGGTGTTCGATGAGGTGCTGCCGCACGGCCAGGTGTTCAGCTGCACGGCCCTCTACCGCTCCCTCTTCATGGGCGAGGTCAAGGTCGGCGCGCTGTACGACTGGGACGGCCACTGCACGCTTACGCGTGCGCGCGAGTACCGCATGCGGCCATAGGCCGCCGCCTGCTGCCGGCGCGGCCGGGCACTCCGGGAATTTATTTTGAGTACTCTCGTAAACTCGTGACGCTTGTGGGGCTAGTATGTTGTTTTCTGGGGGCGTTCGGGGCGGCGGAGTATTTTTTTGTGCGCGCGGGCGGCCAGGGGCGGCCCCTGGGCGCCCTATGGCCGATTTTTTACAATCGAACACACCCGGCAACGAGGGGCACCACGTCACCGACATGTGTGAGATCGGCGGGGACCTGCAGTCCCAGCGCGATGTCCACTATGAAGTCAAGGTGCCTAGCGCCCTCACAAAGACCAGGCAGGCTGGGCAGGGCTCGGGGCGGCACACGGCGGATGCTGTGCGTCACCCTCGACCAAACCTTGCTCAAGGTTCTTGGGTGCAAAGAGCGCGGCCACAAGTCACAGGGCCCGCTCGTCCATGCGACCGGCAAGGGCTGGGTCAAAGAGCACAAGGGACAGTACTACGACGCGCTCCATGTCAAGAACGGAATCGTCAAAATTTGTCTCGTCGAAAGCCAGGGCGGCATCGCGCCGCCGACCAAGAGAATCATCCACAAATTCGCCAAAGAGGTCGGCAGCGGCCCGAGCGCCGTCGACCGCACCGACTACGGCACAGCCTCCGGCAGCGCCCGGGGCTTCGTCCAGCACCACTCGCAACAGCTCTCGCGCGCCGCCGTCTGTGGCGATGCGGGTCTTTTCTTCTCAATAAAGAAGGCTGTGAACGGCGGTCAGAGCCGGCTCGGCTCGGCGGAGCCGTCGCGCGGAGTCCAGGGCGTAGCCGGCACCACCAGAAGAAGGCCATTCGCGACGCAACAGCCGGGGCGAGCGGCCGCCTCGCGGCGGGTCCGGCGATCGCGGTGCTGTCGGTCACGCTGAGCGAGTCGATGCTCTCGAGCGTGCTCTTTCCCTTCCTGCCTTGGTTGGTGCGAGACCTCGGCGTGCCTGCGGACAGCGTGGCTCTCTACTCTGGGCTGCTCTCCTCTGCCTTCAACGTCTCCAGCCTCGCTGGCGCAGTCGTGTGGGGTCGCCTCTCCGACGTGCACGGCCGGCTGCCGGTGCTGGCTCTCGGCCTGGGCAGTAACGCAGTCTCGATGGTGCTGCTCGGCCTCTCGGCGAGCTTTCCACAGGCCGTCGCAGCGCGGCTTGTCGCCGGGTGCCTCAACGGGAACGCCGGCATCGCGCGCGCCGCCATGCGGGAGATGACCACCGAGGAGACTCGCGCGCACGGCTTTGGGCTGATGAGCCTCGCGTACGGCGTCGGCTTCTTCCTCGGCACAAACATCGGCGGGCTGCTCGCCCAGCCGGCGGAGCTGGTCCCCTCGCTGCTCGCGGGCTCGCTGCTCGACCGGTTCCCGTACCTGCTCCCGTGCGCCATCGCAACCTCTGGAGGGCTCCTCTCGCTGCTCCTCGTGCTGAGGCAGCTGCGGCTCGAGCTGCGGCAGCAGCGCACGCGGGAGAGGGGGAGGGGGCGGAGCGGCAGCCGGGCCGGCCGCACCGGGCGGGACACGGACCCGCTCGTCGAGGTCGGGGGCGCAAGTAGAGGCGAGGGAGGCGAGGGAGGCTTGAGGCGCCCCTCGCCGAGCCCAGGCCACGGCGCAGGCTCGGGCCGCGGCTCGGGCTCGTCTCGCCCGTCGGAGGGGTTCGCGCTCTGCGTCCTCGCGCAGTTCGGCCTCAACCTCGTCATCGTCGGCTTCGAAGAGGCCTACTCCCTCTTTTGCGCGAGCCGCCCCTCGGGCCTCGGGCTCGGTCCCTCCGACATCTCCGCCTCGCTCACGCCGCTCAGCCTCAGCCTGCTGCTCTGGCCGCTCGCCTTCCCGCGCCTCGAGCGGGCCATCGGCGCGGCGGCCTGCTTCCAGCAAGGCGTCTCCCTCTTCCTCCTCGCCTCCCTCGCCACCCCGCTCCTGCGCACCATCCCCGCGGGAAGGAGCCTGCTCGGCCTGCCGTCCACCGCCTGGCTCTGGCTCTTCCTGTCGGCCATCTCGCTCGCGCGCGGCGTGGGAGGCGTGCAGGCGACAACCTCGATCGCCCTCCTCCTCAACAGCCTCCTCCATACCGACCTCGGCCTCTACAATGGGCTCGCCGTCTCCGCCTCCGCCCTCGCCCGCTCCATCGCACCAGCTCTCACCGGGTGGACCATCGGCGCGCTCCACGGCTTCCGGGTCCCCTTCTACCTCATCTCGTGCACGTGCGTCGCGACCCTCGTCGTGGCCACTCGCGTCGCCGCACTCGCCTCTGCACAAAGCCGCCCGCCGCCTTTGGACTCGGCAGCGCGGGTGCCTTTGGACTCGGCCGCGCCTCCTCCGGCACGGTCCAGGACAGGGGGAGGGAGCCGCCGGCGCGTGGACCCCGAGTCGGCCAGCGCCGTCGCCAGAATCACCGCGCGCACGCGGCAGCGTTTGCTGGAGCTCCTCCGACGACATGACGGTCGCGGTAGGCGGCTCGTGCCGACGGCGGAGCCAGCGGAGCATCGTCGCATGTCTTCAGGTGTCAAGGTGTGAATCCCGATTCAGAGCACCCTCACTTTCGGAGTCCAGTCTAATGCAGGGGGGGGATTTTACGCACAGACCTTTACGTACATGTACATGTACATGTGCATGCACATGTATGAGTGGGAGCAGTCCGCATTTTAAACGGGGTCGGCGGGGGAGGCCCCACCGGCGGCTAAAAACTAAAACTGTCGGGGTCTCGCGCTCACTTCGGGTATCGCGCGCGCCGCAGTGCGGCAGCAGTGCGGGCCCCCACGACTTTTAGCCGTCTATAGGAGGAGAGACAGGTGAGCCGTGTGTACGCCAAGTCGCGAGTGTGAGCAAGGCGGCAGAGGCTTTTCTTCTCGGCGTTCACTGTGGGTTTGGGAAATCGCGCGACTGAGTCACCATCGCGCTTCGCGGCACATCGGGGCGGCCCTGAGGTTCATATTAAGACACCGACGCCCCGCGACCCGGCAGACTAGCAGCACCGCCCCTGGCCCCGCGACCGTTGCCCTCCAGGGACCAGACTACTTACTTCCCTGCGCTCGCCGCGCCTCTGTTTTTGGCAGACTCCTGCCTCCACCACGCCCGCGACGGGCGCGGTGAAGTCCGTGGCCTGTATGCACATATTCCGAAGAAACAGCGGGCAGGTGGCGGTTGGGACAGCTCACACGAATCCTTGCCGCGCTGCGCGCTCTGGCGTGGCCGCCCGTGGCAGAAGTGCTGCACCGACGCACGATCCCTCCTCGAGGTTCACTCACGCCTCGAAGGCCGCGACGAGGAACGCCATCCCAGTGAGCTGCGAGTGCGCGTCCTCTTTGACATCGACCCACTCCTCGGCAGTCATTCCGATTCGCCCCGCAAAGTTGTCCGACCGCGCCACGCTCTCTCCCGGAGGTCCACCAACTGTGGAGGAGTCGTCACCGCCGCAGGTGCCAGCTGGTGGCGTTGGCTCCTGTGCCTCTGGCGCGGCATCCGCCGCCATCTTCTCCTCGATCCATCGGGCGAGCGTCGACGAGCCCTGGCCGTAGCCGCCGGGAAGCGGGCGCAAATCTCGCGTCTGCCTCAGCGGCGGCGTGCCCCAGTGTGAGGGGAACCGCATGCCTCGGGCCGCTTGCTCACCGCCCTCTCCCCCCTGTTCGCCGCCACCGATGCCTTCGCTGCTCCCCACGCCCTTGTCGCCTTGAGCGCTAGCCAGCTTCACTCCCGCGGGGCAGACGCACGGGTTGCCGAACAAATCGCGACCCGAACCGCCACAGCCACGGCAGATCCCCTGTGAACGAGAGGCGGCCTCCTCGGCATCAGCTCCAGCTTCGCCGATTTCGCGCGTCGTGCTTGCTTCCCCGTCCTTCTCCACGTCCATACCCTCCGCGCCCTCCGTGCCTTCGTGATCTTCGTCGGTCCGGACGCTGCAGATGCTGACCGCCGGCCGGCCGTCCCGGGTGCTCGTCCGTTCGGTGACCGGCTGGTCAGGCGGAGTAGCCGCTCTGCCGCCAGGCGAGGTAGCTGTGCCTCCAGAGGAGGGATGCACCGCCTTTTTGAGCAGGGCTGCCGCCTTCTTGTCGAGCTTGTACGTCTCGGCGATGTACTGCAGCGTCTCGACCTCGGTCGGCGTTACCTTTCCGCCGTCCGCGGACGCCTCCAGCAGCTGGTCGACAGACGCCGCGCTCAGCTTGCCGCCGCTCGAGAGCTCCTCCGCCAGCTCGATCAGCGCTCGGTCATACTTGACGCCATCGATCTCCTGATAGCAGCCGCTGTTGCTGCCACCTGGGGTACCGCCATCGCCGCCGCCACCACCGCCATCGTCGACGTCGAGAGAGCGCTCCACCGTGCTGCCACCCGCCGCGGCGAGCCCTTTGTCCATCGCGGCCTTTGCCTTCTTGTCGAGCTTGTACGTCTCGGCGATGTACTGCAGAGTCTCGACCTCGGTCGGCGTTACCTTTCCGCCGTCCGCGGACGCCTCCAGCAGCTGGTCGACAGACGCCGCGCTCAGCTTGCCGCCGCTCGAGAGCTCCTCCGCCAGCTCGATCAGCGCTCGGTCATACTTGACGCCATCGATCTCCTGATAGTAGCCGCTGCTGCTGCCACCTGGGGTACCGCCATCGCCGCCGCCACCACCGCCATCGTCAACGTCGAGAGAGCGCTCCACCGTGCTGCCACCCGCCGCGGCGAGCCCTTTGTCCATCGCGGCCTTTGCCTTCTTGTCGAGCTTGTACGTCTCGGCGATGTACTGCAGAGTCTCGACCTCGGTCGGCGTTACCTTTCCGCCGTCCGCGGACGCCTCCAGCAGCTGGTCGACAGACGCCGCACTCAGCTTGCCGCCGCTCGAGAGCTCCCCCGCCAGCTCGATCAGCGCTCGGTCATACTTGACGCCATCGATCTCCTGATAGTAGCCCTCTTGGGCTGCATCATTGCCTCTTGCGCGCTTGCGGCTCTCCGGGGCCGGCACCTCCGGTTCGGGCGGTGCGGCCTCACTCGCCTTGGCCTCATCGAGTCGAGCTTCTAGCACTGCTTTCAGCCCGCTCGTGTCCAATCCCCGCTTCTTGAGCTCCGCCCGAAGCTGCGCCACCGTCGGCATTGGACGCACGCAAACTCTGCCGATCCGAAGTAGCAGTAAAGCAGACTTCATGAAAAGAATTTTAGCACCGCACGCACTAGAGAAATTATTTTTATCCGTTCTCATATTAAATAGCTTCAATGCAGTCCGCCTTCGGGTATGTTCGTATGAGCCACTTATGAAAATCTTTTTTCAAGCGTGCTCAACCACGCTCCACGGCGGGCGCGTTCGCGAGAATCGCGACGCCTTTTCTACTCGAGTACTCGAGTAGTTATTCCGTCCTCATCCGTTGGTCCAGGGTTCGGGCTCCTAGCCGGATAGATAGGGGGTCGTGTCAAGCTCAAGCGTCAAGGTCTGAGTACCGCCGCCAAAATGCCTCCTCCCACAAGTGCTCCAAGTGCGAGGCCATGTCCCCACGCCGCTCTCGGCGATTCCAGCGAGTGTGCTGGAGGGTCCGGGGCTCACACAAAAGCACAACCCCGGGCCCGAAATCGCACGACAGCCGGGGCTCACCGCAAGCACAAGAGCCCGGAGCCGTTCCGATAATAATCTTCAGATACCACTGCCTCTCGCAGCTACTCGAATCCGCCTTTTCCCGGCCGCGGTCGCCGCCCAGCCCGCCGGCGCAGATGCGAAAATAATCAATTTTTTCTTTTCTCGAACGGTCTACACTCTACAGAGACTCGTTTGGCCATGCTCGGCCCTGGGGGCGCAGTAAGCGGTAGCGGTAGGGGACCCGACCGTGTGAAGCGGTAGCGGTAATCCGGCGCTCAGCAAGCTCGAGTTGACGCCCGGCTCGTCCGTCTTGCTTCGTCGCAAGATGAGCAGCGGCGCGTCTGAGCTCTTGAACTCTGACGACCTCGTCGAGATTTGGCTCTACAAGCTTCCCCAAGCTGGAGGAGCTCGAGGCGTAGCGTTATTTTCTTTTTTCGGCCAGCCCAGGAATATTCTATTTCCCTCGCAAACGTGAAAGTCGACTAGGCCGGCTGCACCCATAAACTGAGTGGGGTCTAGCGGTAGCGGTGTCTTATCAACCTAGGAATATTTGTGGGGTCGCAGCCGACAATGTGTGTGTGTACTTAGACTGGATCCCTATGCCTCGCACGCCAGCCGCTCCAAGCGAGCCACCACGGGTGCTGTCGCTGTTCATCGAGCTGCCTCGTGGTGCGGTCAAACACGGCTACTCCTTTCAGCATGCGGCCAAGGTGCCGGCGCCATACCTCGTGTACGGCACGCAGCCCGCCATCGGCAGGATTGCGGCCGCGCGAGCTGCTGCGGGCCTGCTGACAGAACTGCGCGAGATTGACATCGGTGGGCTCAGGAACCTCTCTGCCGCGTCGCTGGGAGTGTCTCCGGCGGCGTTGGAGCTGGCCGCCCGGTCCGCGCCCACCCGACTCCCACCTCGCCCTCTCCCACCGCCCTCTGAGCCAGTCTCCATGACGCGCGCGCGTGCTCTCCCGCAGCCGCTCGGTCGACGCGACACACTGCCCCTCGTGGGAGCTCGTCCTGATCTGGCTCTCCAAGCTGCCGCTCCTCGCGACGGCGATGCGCGCTGAGCCAGCGCTGCCCCGGTGGGCGTGGGTCGACGTCGGTCTGACACCCACCGGCCGGCCAGCGGCCAGAGAGCTCCCGCTGACGCCTCCAGCCCCGATCGCCGGCCAGGCTTCAACGTCTACCGCGTGCTGCGCAGGAGGCCGCCGCCCGCGCCATGGACTCGCTTCTGGCCACGCGGCGGGGGCGTCGCCGTCGCCCGCAACCAGGGCGGCTGCCACAACGAGTTGCGGCGCACCAACTTTAGCGCCTGCATCATCGGCACCTTTTTCTACGGCGAGAGCGCCGCCCTCCTACGCCTGGCGCAGCTGTTCTTTGCGCGCGCGCGCCGCTACGTCTTGCGGATGGCCTCGCCCGGCTACGCCGGCCCCAAGCTGCTGTGCGCCGACCAGGACGTGCTCGAGGAGGCGGTGGCGCACGAGCCGTCCTTGGTCGAGGAGTTCCAGGTCTCGCAGCGCGAGTTCTTCGGCTGGGGCTGGGCGCCGCCCGACAAGCAAAGCGACAACGAGACGCGACCTAGTCGGAGAGGGGAGTGTGCAGCGCAGGATCATGCTCCTGGAAAAGTGATGTGCCAGCAAAGCCATTTGCTTCTCCGCGCCCGTCGCCACGCCAAGCTGTCAAAGACATAAATAAATAAATAAAACGGGCAAACTCTGAGACGAGATGGGATTTAAAGAAAGAAAGAAAACAGACAACCCAAGGGAGATGGGGGAGGAGGACGGCACGCCGCCACCACACAGGGATTTTAAGGAGAGGTGTGTGGTGCGCTAGCCGTCGCCCACCCTAGGGAGTCTGCCTCTTCCTATCTCTCTTCGCAGTCTCTCGCCGATTCTCGCTGCAACCTTCATTGATTGATTGACTGATGGGAAGGCGAAACACAGTCCGACCAACGACTGGGACACCAACATGCCACCTCGCGGCC